TTTTCAAAATCTTCGTTAAGCTGTTCTATGCATACTTCCAGAAACAGAATTTCACTTTTCCCTAAAGTAATCTCAGTGTAATATTGTAATAAAATATTGATTTCGTGTATAACACATGGTACAAAGAATAGAATTATTCAGTTTCAAAGCAGTTTTCACGGCTAATTAGTTTCGCGTAGAGTATTAATTGAAAGCAGTGTAGTACTGGTACCAATCACCAATAAACAGCTTACATAATGGACGCGTTGAACTAAAATTCAGTTGTTGGTTAAATGCTGAGAAGATGCTAGTTATGATATCCAAATCCTTTGAGCATGGTTCTAAAATGAGCGATAATTTGGGACTTCTTAGGAATCCAGAGTAGAATATTCAACATATATGCAGTGATGCTTGGTTTTCATTATTATTATTATTTTATTGTTCCCTTAGATTTCAAGCGGAATACAGGACTTCAACAGAACACTTTGTCCTATTTTCTGCTATCCTCTTCAGCTGAACTCACTCTTATCTCTTCTTCTCCCGATCTCCTCCACTCGTCGTTTCCCATCTGAGTTCCTTTCGAGGGCCTGGTGCGCTTTATCTTTCAACAGTCTCTTTGGAAATTGCCTTATCCATCTCCATTTTCTCCTGCATATTTGTTGAGCGATTGGTTCTTGGTTAGTGTGTTCCCATAGTTTATTGCTTCTAATTATTCCTGGATATTTTATCTTCAATATGGAGTGAAGGCAGCTGTTGATTAAAGTTCACAACCTGTTAGAAGTGGTCTCCATGACGCTCCAAGATCTCATTAGTTTTCTAGAACGTACAAATATATATATATATATATCTGGTAAGTTCTCTTAGCACCAAAAGGAATATTTCCAAATATGTGTCATTAGAATTGTAACATAAAAAGTGTTAATTGGGTAGAAACTAAGATAAATTAAAATAAGTAAATTGAGGTACGTAATATAATTGATGAGGATGAGTAGAATTCACCTAAAACTGAACGCGAGTCGTGTTAACAACAGTGATAATAAGGGGTGAGGAAAGAATATAATGCAATTAAGAAACCATAACCAAACATTACGTATTCTGTGTTAAGACAGATCAGGTCTATTGTGGATTTAATAACTGAACAAACTTCTTTTGCATACAGAATTCAGGACTTAACATGTGAATTGCCATTGCTTCTACAATATAAAGAAGTTTGATTCGTACTCTTTTAGCAGTAGTCGCATGAATTCCGTAGACAGCTTTGAAGTTGACTTGTGAGTTAGCTTGGTATCCATATTCCATCAGTTGTTTCTGGATAGAGCTGTTGGAGGAGCATTTTTCTCTTTTATAACACCATGCGGGTAAATTTTAGATGATACATTTAGATAGCAAACGATGGGTACGGCTGACATACGCAAATCCGCACAAGCATGTGAACTGATAGGTGCACACTTAATAGGTCAGCAGTAATAGCTTGTCCTTCAGGTTTATATAAATCATTTGTTTCGTAGAAAAAGTGAATTTGAGTTCCAGTATCCCCATCGTCGCAGATGTCTCTATGGACAGCCTGGAAAATACTGCTCTTAATACATTTAATCCTACTCCAAAGATATGGTGGAGATATGTGGGTGACACTCACAGTGTTAAAAACAGAACACACCTCCAGTTTCTTCAGGCATATAAACTAACTAGTAAAGGGAATAAAACTCAGATTTGAAATGGAAAATGAACAAGGAGAATTAGCTATGTTAGATTGTAAAATAAAACGAATAGAAGAAGGTAAAGTGCATATCAGCGTTTATAAAAAGCAAAGCATTCTAATAGATATTTAGACTTTAATTCACCTCATCCGTTATCTCTAAAGGTGGGCTTAGTTAAGTGTCCGAGCAATAGCACTAATTAGCACAACAGAAAACCTAAACGATGAAATGAAACAGTTAGAATGGGAAGCATTGCCGTTAAATAACTGACTATTCTATAAAATCCATTAGGAAGATCAGAAAAGATAAGAATAATGGTGAGACTAATAATGATAACATAAATAAGAAAGAGTATAGGGCATCTACAGTAGTTTTACTTTATTAGAGGGGATATCTGAGACCATCCCCCACGTAGGATTCCTAATAAAGCAGGAATCAGGATGGCATTCAAACCTACAAACTCACTCAGCGACAGGCTCTGTAGGCTAAAGGACCCAGTGGAGTCAATTAAACAAAATAATATAATTTACAAAATACCTTGCAATGACTGTGAGTTAAGTCAACTACATCGGTCAAAATAGTAGATCAGGGGTAGGGAGATTATCAGAACATAGGAATTTAGCTACGGTTATAATGATTAATCCGACGAAGATAAGTAATTTAGAAAAAACTCAGCAATAGCACTGCATGCATTTACAGAAAACCACACAATAGAATGGGAGAGGATTAAAATTCTAAAAAGTAATCTAGGTAATTGGAGAGAGAGGTAGATTAATGAATCCTGGTTCATCGAGTCTGCAGACACAACGCATGCAACATAAATGACTCAATGGAAATAACAGAGATATGGAAGATATTATTACCAGTCAAATCAGAGGATGATAAATAATGTTAAAATGTATTTAATTCACATTCTAACATTCTAACAAGTTACTTATTTTTACCATAAAACCATCAGTATTCCCATCTGATTGTATTTTATTGGCGACACTAATATTATTTCTAAATGTACTATATCTTATATTGATTTTATTCAAGTTTAGTCTTGTATATAAATGAAGCAAATTTTGTGGGAGTAACTTGATATGATTATGAGCAATAGTTGGTGTTCGAAACTTCCTAAGTAAATATTACTGTATAACACTGTGTGATTTATCAAAATAAAATTTTATCTTTATTGGAATGAATTTGATTTCGGTCGTGAAGACTTTTTTCAGTGAGTGGACCAGGCGGTTTCTTAGTATTTCTGCTGATGAGCCGTCAGTAAATTTAGATTCAAGTTGAGAGGTAATTTGGGAGTACAAACTTTGTGCAGTTATAGTGGTTTAGTCTTCACAGATTTTGTGATGAAATTTACAGTGTAGTCACTTCCAAAAGCGATTCTTTGGAGAGTTTTCAGCTCTTCTTCCACACTGTCAGGTCTGCAAATATTGCTGATTCAGTGACTCAGTGAACGGATCAAGCTTTGTTTTGTATATAAAGGCATCCAGCTAAGTAAGTTGGTACGTTTTTCTTATCACAGCTTGATTCCACACAGTATTTTGGTACAACTATGGAAATTCCCACATATGATATCGGTAGCCCAAATTTAGCAGGCAGACCATTGATATAGGTTGTGCTCCAACCTGGATTTAAACCCCGGATCTTGGCGAACGTCCTAACTACTGTTCCAACGTTGCAGATGTCGGCTTTCTATAGATGGATCTTCCTAATGTTCCTTATTGTTCACGTCCTGTTATTTGGACGTCCAGAAAAGACACTTTTCGTTTCAGACTCCTTCTCCAGTAAGAACTTGATTGCAGGGTGGTAGCTGTTTAGGAGTCCAGAATATACTCCAAATTCTCCTTATTGTTAGAGATGGTAAAGTATCTCTTGCAAAACCCAAATCTGTCAGTCACTTTCTTTAGGTGCTTTTTTAGTTTTGAAAAGAAATCTGCAAGCAACGGACCCAGTGGTTAGCCAGTAGCTATATTATATTTTTACGGTATATTTAATTATTAAAAGAGAATTGGACATTTAGAGTGCCACTTATTGACAGTTATCTCAATACTCAGTGGGTATGCCAATGTTCACCTCCCCTGAATCAATACATTCACAAATGTGGCATATTGTTCCAGTTAGAGGAGCGTTCATAAACTGGGATACAAACTCTAGTGAGAACATAGTTTGATTTAAAACACTGACGTTTTCAATGGGGTTGATAAAGTTGAAGGAATCGATGAGTGATTGGAAGGAAACTTCTTATCTTCTGATTAGTTCTAGTAGGTCTACTAGCCACTGGGCAGTGCAGTGACCAGGTGAATTTGTCATGTTGAGAATAGACGAAGAGATGTGTCTTTTTTGTTTATTAATCAAAGTGAAATGTCTTTCGAATGATACTCATTAGTCAAACGTCACTGCATGCTATCTATGTAATGTTTGTAAAAAAATTAGTTTATCACTTGCTAGTTTGATTGTTAACAGGTTTGATAAAGAGCTGATATCAGTTAAAGGACAATTGGAAAGCCAGTGAGTACAAGTCAGCCATTTCTCATACTTCAGTGGTAGGACGCACGGGAGTTCGAACCTAGGACTTTTGTGTTACAAGGCGACCTCGTACACCATTGAGCCATCAGGATTCGGTGCAATGGCCTACGAATTCTAGCTGGTGCCAATCCGCTATATATATATATATATATATATATAGTACAACTACCAATGGCTCGATAGCTGCTGTAAGCCAATTATCTAACCCGCCAATGTTGACAGCTCTTCTAAACCCGTAAACAAATCTCTTTAGAAATTAAATTCTTCATTATTACCCGTTATCTTAATTCAATACCCTGTGCTGACCATAATAAACTTTCTTCCCCTCTCTTTTGATTGAACTAATTTATTTTGATCATGAATTTTTTGCTGTTTCGTTTAGCGAGTTCATGTCTCCAGGTGGCGACCTGACTACTAATCATCAGTTGGTATTGATAAGCTAGTAATTTTCTAATGAAGCTGAAACTATCAGTTTAATTGGTTAGTTTTATCAAGTCTAGTGTATACAATCTACAATAAAATACGATAATCCTATAGGTGAGTAGAATAACCTGAATTACAATTTGTAAACCAATCAGTGATTAGTTACAACAAATTTTTAACTTACCTTTGCATTTTATAATGTAAGTGTGGGCTGAATTGATGCAAAATTTAAATATAAAATAAGCACAGATTTTGTGTTTTACAAACAAAATGAAGTGAATACTTCTATCACATGTAACTTAATCCAGTCAGTTAACAATACCAAAAAAATATTTATATACACTTAAAGAAGAGAAAAGAAAGCTTATCTGTGTCATGTCAAATGATTTTACGCTTGATGACCAACAAAATGAATTATCCGATAAATCAGTAACTTTACAAAGTGATTTAGAAGTGAAATGGTATTATTTATCATCTGCTGAAATTTGTGCACTTACACTAACTTTCTTATATTATACACTTATGATATGCTTGGGTATATTATGTTGGTTAAATGCAAAACGTCGATATAAAAATCGTCAAAGAAATTCAAATACATGGTCAAGATTTCAAATTAGTCCAAATCAGTTGCACATTAAATATACAGATGATGATGGTGATTCTATGGCAAGTTAATTTATATTATGTTATGAGCTAAAAAAGTGTCTAATACTCAAGAAAATGAAGTCAAAAAGAATTCATAACAACTCATGTGATTGAATTCATCAACTTGAAATTTAATATTTGCCGAAATGAAATGTACAGATTCCTGAGTATGCTCATGTTGTTTATCTATAATTAAAAAAAAATTTGACTTCAAATATTCAGGGTGAATTCCTAAATATGAGACTTTTAGAGATGCTCATCTTTTTCAGTGCATATATACATAGATAAGTTTTGTATATTCTGTAAATTATAATTGATTATGTTATATATACATATATTATTAATAATTCTTATTAATAATTAATACGATTGAGTACATTTTGTTTTTAAATTACTGCCTCTAAATGAACACTGACAGTGCCCTTGATAGAAGCGAATCAAACTAATTCATTTGGTTAACTGTAAACATTCCACAAGGGTCCTTTATGAAATCAACCAGACAATGTTTATAAATAGATTAAATATGTTAAGTTAATTAACTGAGTCGAAGTATTTATTTAATCTTATCATCCTGCTGTTGATGTAGATTACAACATTGTAATGGGGATTCCTAAATATTTGTATCCTTAAGAATGATATAAATGTGAAGCTTCATATGTGAATCCATATGTGCGAAACACTCACATGAATGCGTTAACGGCTTCATATTCGTTCAGTTTTATGTGAATTCGATAGAAATTCAAACACTGATCTGTGTCTGTCTAGATTTACAGATAAGTGACATCGAAACCTAGTTAATTCTTTTTTGTCGAATAGGAGAGTTTTCTGAAGTATCGATTTCATCCCACTAGAGACTCGTCACTGAATATGCTCAGACTGTAATAATCACTCATTGGAGTCATAGATTACGTAACAATGACTACCGGCCTTAGATGGTAGTCAGATTCAGGTAAATATGACCTATGAGGCTGCAATAGGACATCACTTCCACTGTTAGCTAACACCACCGTGTCATAACTACACTAAACGAAGTTGGCACACTTGTTCTACAATGTTATTGAATGTAGAGAAGTTAATCAGTAACCAAGAAGCTTTTATAAGTGAAGAAAATCCTCCAAGTAAATACAATTTTGAGTAGGATAGTTATTTATTTGGAAAGCGCTTGCTTTCATTCTTGTAAATCTGTAGTGATGTAAACGCCAATTATTTGTTTCGCCTGTGTTTAGGCTTAGACGACCAAAAATCTATGATTAGTCTATTATTATGGACAATATACGCATGACTGTCTGGCCAGTATTTGAAGCAGTCTAAAGTATCACACTAAATTGTACAATTATATCGTTCATGGAGAATTCAAATAAGTTCATTTCATACTAAAACCTGCACCTTGTATCCATGTGATTGATTGTGAATCCCAAGATCTACAGTCTGTAAGTACGGATTACTGCTATTCAGTGAGGTGAAACTTAATAATTTGAACTTCCAGACACATGAGGTCAGCAGCTACTGGCGTCATAGACTTCTCTATCTTCGTCTTCCAGCACTTTCTTTGTTCCTATCCCAATTATACTTCCACTAAGACAGTTTGTCAAATAAGCTGGTGTTTAGGCAGACAAAACACTTTTCAAAGTTACTCTAGTCTGTAAACGTTAAGGATCTTGTCAGCTGATCCATTCACCCTATATTAGATTCTAATACTGACTTCTGTTTCAACAACATTATGAGTTTTCCAAACGACTGGATCATTGTACGAGCGATAGTGTTCAATTATCTCAGGGCATATCGTTTTGTGAAATATCACTTATGTCTTACAAGCATTCAGATTATTTCATCAACCGCCAGTTTTTGTGTGAACATGGTATGATTACTCATATAAGGGAAGTGGTCGACGCACTAATTTCCTCTCATTGTATGGGATATATATGCGTTTCTTTTCTAGTTATGGAGAGAAAAGGAATAATTGGGAGTGGAATAAACTAACAAACAATCAGCAAAGACCTGATCTAGTCTAGAACTAGTAAGGCTGAAGCTAAGAATCCGATACTGTATCAATAGTATTATCTGGAATGAAGCCGTTATTGTATAACTAAAAGAGGTGAAATGAATCCTTTACAAACTCTTTTCAAAAGGGTTCAAGCTACACAACACAAACTATTTTAGCACATTTATGTATCAAATAAGAGATGAACCTGAATTGACCATTTAGAATGAAACTAATTGCAAATATGAATTTGATATATCGTTACAATGCAGAGTATTCAGCCTAATGGCGATAACTACGAAGATCTACGCCTAGATTAACACGAAAGTGCATACACTCTTTTGTAACATATTATTTAGATCTTAAGAAAAGAAAGATTTACCCATTAAAGTAGTAAAACATTTGTTATATATAACTGAGCTATGCTTTTGTCCAAGCCAATCTAGTTTGTGTTTACAGACACTTAACGATTAAAACTGTCTGTCTGCAATGTGTACGTCTAAGCTGACTTTAAATAAGCCATTCAACTCATATGCAGACTTGATTATTTGATTAGTATTGACCAGTAGTGAGATTAAGAATGTAAATTATAACCCGTGTTTCGAAGACTTAACATAAGTACGTCTGTTTTGCAATCAGTATTGTCATTTCTTTTATGAACATTCATTTTGAAATCCAGTAATACTTCTTATACCACTGAGTTAGGATTGTCACTGCTTTCTCACTGAATATTGGTTCATTGTTGAGGTTTTACCAGTTTCGTGTAGTAGATTTAGAAGACTGAATCAGGAAGCTGTTGTTGACATGGAAATTATCTCTACAGACGCATAATGATTAGATAATTATCCTGTAAGTTTGCCTTTAATACACTAGATGCTTGCCATATTGATTTCAGAGAGTTTTATGAACTTGAGACTGAGAAGGATTTCATAGTTATATTTTGTCTAACTATCAAAGTCATGACACGATATTCATGGTGGTGCTGTATGAAGAAGTATCCTTTGTGAATCATGGATCAGTGGACTGCATTTCGGCAACAGAATCGTGAGACCTCGCTCTAAAAAACTTGGTGATAGTAGATTAGATTCTTTTTGTGAAATCATAGATTTTCAAGTACTGGTTTTGTAGGGATTTCTGTTTGATTGTATGGAGGATTTCACCATGAGCTGACATTAGTTAGAGAACGATTGGAAAACCTGGGAGTACTGGACAGATGGTTCGTCCTAGTTTGGGACTCTTGATCAGTACGCACCCACCGGGGTTCGAACCCAGGACCTTCCGGTTAGAAGGCAAGCTCGTTGACCATTGAGCCACTGGGACCCGATCCAATGGTTCTTGTCGTGTTCTATGTCGGGAACTGGCAGAAGTTAGAATTCAAGAACCATTGGATCGGGTCTCAGTGGCTCAATGGTCAACGAGTTTGCCTTCTAACCAGAAGGTCCTGGGTTCAAACCCCGGTGGATGCGTACTGCTGGAGGACGAAACAGCTGTCCAGTACTCTCAGGTTTTCCAATGGTTCTTTGACCAATTTCAGCTCATGGTGAAATCCTCCATACAATGAAATCATAAATGTCTATTGTTGCAGATTTTCATAATAGAACAAATAGTGTGTTAGACTTCGGTGATTCTTTCAGCTCTCAAGGGATATATACTTTCATAACTGTGCAGAAATAATCACTCAGTATAAAGAAAGCGTTATACCTTAAATCTCATTGAAAATATCGTTAGTTTTTTTCAGTAATTCGCCACCGATTATCTATAATGGTGTATATATTCACATATATATTCATTTTATGAATGAAACTGACTTAGATGCTTTTTATCACCCTTTTTTAATCTTTCAGTAGCTTCTTCATTCTCTTCTATCCTAGTTAATAGCACTGGTTTGGATGAGTGGACATTTAATGTTCAAATAAAAAAATATAGAAAATAAAATAAACAAACAGCAAAAATGCAAACAGTTAAAGAATCGGAAACGCCTATTTTTTTTCTAAAAAATGTTTAACTTATTCCTGTACATACTTGGAAATGAGTGAGTATTTATGTGTATGTTTATATGTATGTGTATGTGTGTAGGCATGTAAGTGAGTTCGTATTTGTGTGCTATTCATTTGGCGGGGAACCTGATTTGACCTGATTTTTTAGAGGGGAAACAAAAACAAAAAAGAAAGCGAAATAAATACACAGCTGAATATTTTGTTTTCTTCTTGTTTATATGTCGACAATAATACATGTACATTGGCCCACACATGTAAACACACACACACACACATGCAAACAACCTGGTAACCAAATATTGTATATATGCATTGACTAATTTAACTTAACAATCGAAATGAGGTCATTACTAAGGCAATCAAATCGTTTCATAGCTTCGATTCGTTGCGTGAACTTGAAAATAGCACAAAAACGAATTAAGATTATAGATTCTAATTAAATGTTTATTGAGAAGACAAAAGGGGATTGAACAAAGAATGTTCTTTCCGATAACTCCCCCATCTGATTCTACAGCAATGAAGTTATTATTATTATTATTGTTATTTGAAGTTTGCTAACGGACTGCAGTTGGTGCAGTTAATGAACCGTTGAAAACCAGCACTGAACTACTGGATAGCTGTTTCGTCAGCCTAATTTGGCGCTCATCAGCAATGCGCACCCACTGGCAGAGTTCGAACTCAAGACCTTCCGGTTACAAAGCAAGCTTGTAGACCATTCAGCAGCTTGGATCCGACTTAATGGGCCATGAATTCTAACTTCTACCAGTGCAACCACCAGCCAGTGTCATCGGTGGGAAATCCATCCTCACACTTGACCGGTTGGACCTCACTGGTCACTAAGGTCTTTAATTAGTTGACTGTACGACTGTCCAGTAGCTCCGTTTCCCCCTCACATGATTTCCTCCGTGTCAACCTTGGACACCTAAGTCGCTGTTTCCCAGCTGAGTTCCACTCGATGACCTGGTACATGATGTCATGATCTCCAGTGAGTGTGTCCAATCCATCTTCATTTCCTCCCGCACATTTGTTGGGTGGAAGGTTCCTTGGCAGTT